ATTTAGTAGTGATTTTCAGACTTGTGTGTAGTTTTACTCTTCATGAAATACTATCTGCAGGACACTTGGTACTGCACAGAACCTGAAAATCATCTCTAAAGCTGTGTTCACATCATTATTTCCAGTGAACTAACCCCAACTGGTTTTTGGTTACCCTGTGACAACACATACAGAAAGATATAAAAACGCAATAATCTAAAAGACACCTCTACAGCAAACAATGAGAACAAACAACTTTGGGCTTTGGGCACAAGATGAAAACTGAAAATCTGTCATTGTTGATGTTAACATTTCATGGTACAACTTTTAAATAATAATTAATCTAATTATGTGAACTCAACCTAAGCTTTTGGGTGCCTGGGAGCCAACTCAGCATAGCAGGTAAGTAACTTCTATAAGCTCTATAAGTTCTACATTTGGTAAAACTGGGTACTGTCCTCTGTCATGTAGCTGTCTCTGTTTTGGAAGTGCTAAATCTGATTGAATAAAATTGCACATTAATGAAAAGCAGAACAAGCCATGCCAGTCTCTCAGACTAGCCATGACCTCCTGCAGATATTTGACATTTCTGGGTGCTGTGGAAAATGCAAAGCAGCCAGGAAAACACCCTCATGCAGACACAACTCTCACAACTGTTACTTAAGATGTGAACCCGCTGTGAGGACAGCATGAGCATGAACAAGACTAAACAGAGGATGATCTCTGTAGCCCAGTTCCAGACACAGCATCTGATGTCAGTAATTTTAGGAGAGTATGCAGGATGTCAGATACCTATGTCATATTCTATTAGAAGGAGCTGCTGAATTATAGGTATCAGTAGTACACCTTTGTGTTACAGTGACAGCAGTCACATTCTGGTTTCATTTTTTTTTTTTTTAATTACAGTTAAGGTTTTTAAGACAAACTCTGATTTTCAAGATTATTAATCTCTTTTAAAAAAGAGAAATTGAGTAATGTAGCATTAAAACATACATCAAAGCACAAATTAATTTCTTCTGTTTGTACATAAACCTTTAATCTGTCAAACGCTAAACTTTTACCTCTTTTAACGCCAACCAGAGAAGAAGTGACTCGTTTAGGGCTTGTTGTGTTTAAACTTTAATCTTTAGGGGTCACCACAGGGGTATTTAGAAATACCCTACACCTGGGCGACTCTCTGATAAGAGGTTATAAAGTTTTATTTGTTATACTTTTATAATATTTGCCTGTCATCCACCCAATGTCTTAAAGTTACCATGCAAGCAAACAGAAGAAATTAACCTGTGCTTTGATGTATGTTTTAATGCTACATTACTCAATTTCTCTTTTGCCTGATAGTTCTAAGATACTTTGACTTATGACCTTTCAGGGTAGAAATGCTCAGCTTGTGTTTACTGCATCCTCTGCTCTATTTACTAAGCAATTTAACCACCCAGTCAATTAAAATAGATTGTTAGCCACACTGTAGCGCTTGTTAACACTCTACTTTGCTGAGGCCAATGGCACAGCCAAGAACAAAGATAGCCCTTAATGGAAATTCATAAACTTTTTCTATGAGTGGTAAAAGAATTGAGGTAAATTAGGTGAAATGATTGGTTTAGTCTTGGACTTTGAGGTTTTACTATAAAGTTTAATGTGGACAATTGATATTTTAATATAAATGTATTTATTACATAACAATATTATGAAAACTTTCTACTGTATCGTCTTGATGCATGCTCAATCACCCAGACAGGAAATCCCGAAAGGTTGATTCTCTTCGTCTGGACGTGGCATTTTCAGTGCTGTCATCTTATCGCAAGACTGTTCTGGATTCAAACTTTCCAGAGACATTTAAGTTAACTGTATGAAGATGTGGCATAGATAAACCTTTGAATAGTCGGTAGAACTCGATAGGTACTACACAGTTCCAGCCCTTTTCCAAAACTTTCAAAGTAAAACAAGAAGTAACCAAGTAGCTGTGGTAGCACTCATATAGTATATTTTTTGTTTCCCTGGCTGAATCTATAGTCAGCGTCTTTATAATAAGCATTTTTTTGTCATTCAGTAAGCTTTGTCAGGTCCTTCAATAACTGAAGTTTATTTCCAAGCACGACGTTTTCCAAAAAAGCATTTCACCACTCTGATGTTTCTCGACTCTGTACTGGCACCTCTGTGCCTGAGCTCGTTTTACTTGAAGCCAACACTCACCATCTCTTTGAGCAGCTTCTCTTCTAGCTGAGAGTCGAGCATACTTTGGACAAACTGCTGAGCAGGTGTGCTGGCGATGGCCCGGAGCTTGGCATTATTCTGCTGGGCAATATCTGATAGCCCAACAGCAAAGAACTTTATGCCATGACCTTTGGCCTCCACAGCAGCTGCAATCACATCAGGGTTACGGGGATGATCGACTCCATCTGTCATTAGCACCGCCACCCTCACGCTGTCCTTTGAGGTCTCATGCACCAGCAGCTGTGAGGCATTGGTGATGGCGTAGGTGGTATAGGTGCCGTGACCGATGTAGTTCATGGTGCTGACTTGACCGTGAAAATAGTCCAGGTCTTTCCAGGCTGAGAATCTGTGCTCTATGGACACAGTGCTGCTGTACTGCAGTGCAGCCATCCGCACCTTCATCGTCCAGCTGGGTACCTGCAGCATGGCGAGCCGGGTGCTGAAGCTCAACACGAAGGTCTTCTGTTTCTCAAACAGTGATATGGTTGCGCTCTCAGAGCTGTCCAGGATGAAGGCCACTTCCAGTGAACATGTCAGACCTACTTGAGAAGGAGATCACAAAAACTGACATCAAGCTAGAAGTATTAGAAACAGGACTAATTTCAGGATTGGCACTCTGACACCTTTCTAACTTCTGTCCACAAATTCAGTCCCTTCTGCCAGCAGTCGATATGTATCCATTACACTATCAAAAGTGCTCTAATGTCTCAAGCAACACTTCAAACAGCTGCAACAGTAATCATGAATTCATGAAATATTCTGGAATAAACCTGATTCGGGGGAAATACCCACTCCCAAATTCCTAATACCAGATGCCACAGGAGACCTATAAAGGTCTTGTGTCCTGAGCTGTTTTGGCAGCATGAAGGGAAGCTACACAATAAATAATAAATACAGAGACTTAATGTTGTGGCAAGTCAGTGTAAGTGCAGCTTGTGGGGAATTAAGGCAACAGTTTTGAGTAGTTCTACATTACTAAAACTGTCCAGTAAAGGCTCAAGGACCAAGTGAAAGACCCCAGATTGTCAACTTCCAACCTTAGAACTTACAGTTACTTTAGTTGCAGTTCCTCACTTCAGCTGCAATGGGATCAGAGTTAGTGGTGTTTGTTTTTGTACTAAATGAAGTCAAATTGCCACATGTATCCATCCATAATCCATCCATTTTTTTTACATTTAAAAAAAGACACCTAAAGGAAGGCATTGTGGGTGGATGACTTAAGAAATTCTCGTGTAGTTTTTTTTTACTTAAAATTTGATGACTCAACCATTTCACTGACCTGATTTCACCATCCCTCACTCAACAATTTGTTCCCTCAGTGCAACATAGTGACTTTCACCACCAGCATGTGGAGACCTCATCTAAAAATTACCATTTCTTCCCTCATCTTGCAGCCTGTAGTTGTTCCTGCGCCCTGTCTTTCTCCTTTGGCCTGTGGCCTTGTGTAGGAGAGCCAGCAGCAGAAGGCAGACCCTGACTCCTCTGCTCAGGTTTTCCTTCAGCAACATCCTGAGAATGTTAGGGGGGAAAGCAGTGTATGAACGCACAATGAGTTATTTCATTTTTAATAGGATTCCTTTTACTATCATGGACACTGCTAACCACACCCAGTTGCAGATCCCAAAAAAGGGAGCTGTGTTCTGCAACTGCTGTTTCACAGAAATGGCAGCAATTCTAATGGTATTAATTTGCTTAGATGACACCGTTCCTCCTACTGATAATGCACTCAAATACTTACTATATTACAGTGCCAACAATATGTAAATGTGTGTAAAACCAGAATAATCTGTGCAAATATTTTTTTCTGTTAATAAGTTACAAATGCTGCAGAATCTAAACAATATCTTCATATAAAGTTAAACCTCTGCCAGGTGATTGAGAAAAGGACACAGCAACATGCCTAGACTGCAGTGCAAAAAAAACTGTGACACCACGAGGTTCACTACTTTGCAAAAAAGTTTTACAAACAAAGCAAATATATATATATATTTTATTACCTCGAATCTCATTTAGCTGCAGCCAGTGTTTGTAGTCCAGTCAGCTCTTTGAGAGGCATTTCTCCGTGGAACCCGGGGTCCCTATAAACCAGACTGAGATAAACTGAGGACCATCGCATGAGCTGATGTGCTGTGTGTGTGAGAGTGTTTGTAGCCGGGGGCCCTCCCTGGTGGCGCTCCAACATTTTAGTCCAGTGCAGCGCTTCATGCCTGACAGAAGGGATCCCGTGAAAGTCTTTTGTGCGCATTGAGTCCATGCACTGAAATCATTTAGATTTTAGAGATAAATAGCATTTGCAATAGTCATCACTCCAACCCATAAATAATGCATCTAAAAACCACTGCCAACATAAAATAGAGCAAACTACATTAGTTTGCAGGGATAAAATAATTTTAAAGTTGTTTTTTTTTCTCGGCATCTTTTTTTTCTTAACAAACTTGTCAGTTTTCTGGCTATTATGGGTTGGTTACTAAGGAAAATAGCTGGTTGTGCAGAAAAATCCCAAATGAATTTCGTTCTCTTGCCTTTTCCACTCTCTCCCAGTAATGTGAAAAGCAGATGAATTGTGGTCGTATGATACTCTTGTACAGCGCAGAAATCGACCTCATTTCAATAACATTGTCAGTCCGACAACTCAACTCTTGTTGCTTAAATATATTTAATAAATAAATTAACTTAAATAGTGATGATCTGAAATAGCCTAATTCCTTATAGAAAACTGCCAGATTTCGTTGACGTCTTTTCTCTTTCTTTTTTATTCACTTAGCACCCTCTGCTGGTAAACCGCATCTTTAGCGGAACATGAAGTAGCTGACGTTGCCAATAACACGGACGTGTTTTGGTGTAACACACAACATCCGCTTTGGCTCCAGGTTGCCATGTGTATTTCAAGCTGTATCTCGTGCATTCCTATAAGTCGTCTTTGTTGTGTTTATGTAAGTAAAACCTCTTCTCGAAATGCTCAAACAGATGTTTTCGACTGCTGGTTAAACTGGCGCGAGCGAAACGGTCACGCGCTTGCTCTCCCTTTACCTGTTAGCATTAGCTTAGTTTAGCTAGCATGTCAACAAACTTAAAAGTAGTACTATAACTGCCCACGGCAACTTTTTAACATGCTGGGCGTTAAATTCAAACCAACTGTGCTACACTTCCACACAGAGCTCAGGTTATATTGACGGTTTGGTTCAGTGTATCATTACTTTAACATGTTAAAAAGATTTCTCAGAGCTGTCTGTTGTCCACCTTGCGTCCACTGCACTCGGAGATACGTAATATTTCTGCGCAGTCTCTGACCTTTGTTCATGTGCTCATTTGTGTGATAATCTGCCGTATTTCCAGGCTGGAGAGGTTAAACTTCCCTGAAAACCTACTAGCGTCTGAATCATGAGCGGTTCCAAACCCGACATCCTATGGTCCCCCCACCACCCGGACCGCTACGTCATCTGCGACTCCGAACTGGGACTGTACCGGATCGGACCTGTGGGCAGCGCAGAAGCCAAGGCTGGCACCCTGCCACTCTCCGAGGAAACTGCTGCTACATTACTGGCCATCAACTCGGACACCCCTTATATGAAATGTGTGGCCTGGTACCCCAAGCACGAGCCGGAGTGTTTACTTGCCGTTGGCCAAGCCAACGGCAGAGTTGTGCTTACCAGCTTGGGCCAGAGCCACAACTCTGCATGCAAAGAGCTGGTGGGGAAAGAGTTTGTGCCCAAACACGCCCGCCAGTGCAACACTTTAGCTTGGAACCCCGTGGACAGCAACTTGTTGGCTGCTGGGTTAGACAAGCACAGGGCAGATTTCTCTGTCCTCATATGGGACATCAGCAGTAAGTTGTCCCCAGAGACCAGTGTAGCAGCTGAGAAGATTCGCCTTTCATCTGTTGATTTGGACTCTAGCACAGTGGTGACCAAGCCCTTGTATGAGTTAGGCCAGAATGATGCTTGCCTCTCGCTTTGCTGGCTGCTCCGTGACCCAAAGCTGTTGCTGGCAGGCATGCACAGGAACCTGGCAATATTTGACCTGAGAAACACGAGTCAGAAAACGTTTGTAAACACAAAAGCCATCCAAGGTGTGACAGTGGACCCGCACTTCCATGACCGTGTGGCCTCTTTCTTTGAAGGGCAGGTGGCCATTTGGGATCTGAGGAAATTTGAGAAGCCTGTGCTCACACTGACTGAGCAGCCCAAGCCACTCACAAAGGTAGGATGGTGTGGAAAACTAACTAAAGGCCACAGTAATAATGATGCACTAATATACTACTTTGTGTTTTGGCCATGTAAATGTTCAGCCTTCTGCATTCCTCATTTGAAATTTCTATAATTTATTAACATAGAAAAAGTTTGTAAGTTCAGTTTCAGTGAAATAAAGCTCAGCATGACAAGTGGCTGGTTTAAAAACAAGCGATAGCATATGACATATGGCTTCTTATCTGGCTGTGACTCCTGTGTCAAAAAATGATGTGACATGATCATATTTTACAACCTGGAATTTGAAAATACTTACTCAAGGAGCTAAAACCATGACAATGAGTGGGTTTAAAGTTGATCCATTTGCAGTTAAAAACAAACAAACTGTGTGTTTTTTATCTCTGAAATTTGCATGTGGTTATCTCATTTTCTCATGAAGTTATGAGGGTCAAAGATGCTGGAAATTTTTTTGTTTGTAACTTGGCATAATATTTTCTTACTACTAAGGTACTATTCTGTGTGGCTGCATTACATATACTAAAATTATTGTACCAAAATACAAGTCAGCTGATTCTGGCAGGGTCAAGTGGGAGGCACAGATTGATTTTTCAGGGAATAACCTCTGGTC